AAAAACAAAACCCAAAGTGTTATCCCAAAAAAAAAAAAAAAAAAAAAAAAAAGGAGCGGGCCAGGGATTTAGCTGTGTGACACCAGGTGCAAGATCCTGAGTTTGATCCTGGTACCAAAAAAAAAGGGGAGGAAGCCTTTCTCACCTTTTGATACCATTCCTCAGAACTACTCTGTGCTACAGTTTAAGGGAATCTTTGCCTGGTACTGTTGAGGGGCACACAAATGAGGCATTTGATAACATCATCTTGAAAAAAATGTAAGATCATGCCAAAACTGGTGCAGGGGTGCACAGATGTAATACAATGAATGAAGGCTGAGGCGGGAGGGCAAGGCCAGCCTGGCCAACTTAGCAAGCGCCTATCTCAAGAAACAAGACAAGAGGCTATGCCAAGTTAGGGTAGAAGAAACACGGTATCAAGTTACCATTAGCAAGCAAGATTTGTGCCCTCTGATTTTAGAAGCTACCTGTCTGGCTGGGAAAAATGTTGTGGGCAACGCCACCCACAGCTACCTAACAAGTGGCCACCAACTCATCCATTTCCTCAACTCCTCCCAGGAAGTCATTTTTCATGAAACTGGTTCTAATAAAGTATGCAAATTACATGCAGGGCAGAATTTTTTTCCTTTACAAAACAGTGATCTAAAGAAGGCAATGGCTTTTCATTTTCTGCACCCATGGAAAATACAAATATCATTTCTTCTGGAATCTAACACATTGGCTTCATTTTCAAAATGCATCACTTTATTTCCCCACATATTATAAGCCTTAAGTGTGTAACAGTCACATGATTTCTTCAGTAAGCTCCAAGGCTCCCATAAGCTTGCCTGGACTTCACAGCCAGAAGAGTCCTGAGGTTTCAAATATTAAAGCTTTCTCCACAGCCACAAGTTCCTTTGATATTTGGGTTATTGAAGACAAACTCACTGGATAATTTGTCTTCAACATAGTCCATTTCTGTTCCTAAAAGTGTCAGCTGTGCTTTCTTTTCGATGAATACTCTGACTCCTTGGGGAAAGAGAACATGTGTCATATGAAGCCCACAGCCTGTGGAACCTGTGATCCAAAGCGCAGCTGAACCCTAAATAGTAACCACTAACACAACTCAACAGGAAGCTTCTGAAGAGGTCTCATGATCTCCTCTAACGGGTTACTTGAATCTAAGTCGAAAGCAATTAAGTTAGACTGTTCTACCAAGTAAATTTCATGACAACTCTCATAAAGCTTACAATTCGCCTTTCACTGTACTCATTTCGTTTTTCAATATGCAACATAAAAAAATGGGTATATTTTCAGTGATAGTTTTGCTTTTGTGGTGCTGGGGACTAAACCTAGGGCCTTGTGTATGCTAGGCAAGTGCTCTATCAGAGCCATACCCCCGTCCCTCATCAACAGTTTTACAGAGATATAATCAATAATATTCACAGAGGCCGGGTATTTAGCTCTGCTGTCTGCCTCACAAGCACAAGATCCTGAGTTCAATCCCTGGTACTAAATAAATAAATTTCACGGAAACCTAATCAACACATTGCCATGCCTACAATTATGCAAAGGATTTTTTTTTTTTTTCTTAGCACCAGGGATCAAACTCATGTAAAGGAGTATTTTAATAAGGCCAATCAGTGTGATAGTTCTGTCCTGGTTATGGGTTCAAAAAAGCAATGTTCCCTAATATAGGTAGACGTCAACATTTGGCAAATACATTCAGTTCAAGAGAGCTTTCCTCCTTATAAGAAATTACACAGTATGAATTAAATACATAATCACAGGTCTTCTGTAAGATGAAAATATTAAGGTGTATGACATTTGAGTTTATCTTAAAATACATTTAAAAAGTCTTTATTGGTTAGTAACTTCAGTTTAGTACAGTGAAAGCACACAATTCCTAATCCTCCCTTCCCACAGGCATGGGTGCCTGCGAGTTAGGGACACCTCCAATGCACACAACCACCACTGCAAACCCACGGACACTCAGGTTCTCCCAAGGGGTGGTGTTATTTATCTTGTTTTAAACAGGTTCCCATCAGATCATTGGATTGGAACAGGTATGCTGTTAAATGTAATCGTGAAAAGACTGAAAATTTTAATAAAAACCCAGATTGAGAAATTCTACAAAATCATGAGCTGACATTACTTGACATCCACACAAAAGTGGCTAGTCGGTTCACTTTGGAATTTTAAGATCCTAAGACCTTTCTGGACACAATGATGAGCTTTCAGAGTTGAAACTCACCCAATGATCTCTCACTTAGATACTAAGAGCACAGCCTCTGGAGAGAACTGATTGGGTTTCAGTTTCACTCAGCCACTCACTGTGCGATGAGGACAAATGATTTAACCTCCCTTGGCCTCCATTTCACCAGAAACAGAGATAACAGGGTTGCTCTCATTCCAGTGCTTGTACAGCATATGGGTCTGCCAGGCAGCACCTCTTTCACGCTTACATCATTCTCGCTCTACTCACCACTACTCACCACACCAAGCACACTATAAATTTTAAGAAAAATAAAGCATCCAGGAAAGTGAATCAAGCACTCACCATCTTGAACAACTTCTTCATCAGAATCTCCTTTAGTCTTTGTGTATTCTAGAGTGTAGGAAAGGCCATTGCAGCCCCTGGTTCGGACACCGACTTTCAAACCTACCTAAAGAATAATTGAAAATATAAACTAGGTTTAATATAGTACAAATTAAATAATTATACTAAAATCTTGGCTATTATAACTATTCATTTTCTCACAGGCTAAAATATAAACATTGAATTTCTACTTATAAAATACCCCTGTAGATAATTTAAATGGCATAGGGAACATTTAAAAAAATTTAACTAAGGATCCAAAAGCCAACTAAATAAACAACCCCCAGCTATATACACACAAACAATACAAAGAAGACAAACTCTACAGTCTAATGTTTTTTCTCATTTTTTTCCGGTCCTAGTCAGAACCAGAACTTAATTTTTGTTATACCTAAACATCAAAACGTTATTCTTGATTTTGTTTATAAACCAAAGACATGGGCTGGGGATTTAACTCAGGGGTGCAGCCACCTGCCTTGCAAGCACAAGGTTCTGAGTTCGATCCCCAGTATCAAAAAAATAATAAATAAAGCAAACCCAGACATTATTCTCCCGTGGAATTAATGTTCTTAATTACCGTTTGCAATGAATACCTACTTAACATCCTACTGTACCAAGGCATGTTATTATGACTTTGTTTTTGCTGTGCTGGGGATAGAACTGGGGACTCACTCATAACAGGCAAATGCTTTACCATATCCCCGTATGTTAACTACTTAGCCCTTAGTATTCAAACATCTAGGTTGGAAATAACATTTTTTAAGAAAGGAAGGGTTTTAGTAAAATCATTTAGAAAAAACAACAACAACAACAACAAACTGATGACAGAGATGTCTTTAAAATTGCACTTTCTTAAAAATATTTTTAGGGCCGGGGATTTGGCTCAGTGGTTCTGCTTCCTGCCTCGCAAATGCAAGGACCCGAGTTTGATCCCTGGTACCAAAAAAAAAATTTTTTTTGCTCCAGCTCATTCTGAGGTGTTCTGTTTCCCTTGGTTAGGGTCTCCCAAGGGTCATGTGCTACCCTCTAGCAAGCATACTATCTCTATACAGGATATAGAGCAGACCCCACAAACATTCTCAAATACATGAATGCAAAGGACTGCAATCAATAGAAATGTTAAGTTTATAAAGTAAGTTTCCAGTTGCAGCTATGTGGTAGGGTGTGTGAATAGCCCATTCAATGTCCTGGGCTCAATTCCCAGCACCACCAAAGTAATAATAATAATAATAATAAGTTTAAAAAGTGGTCAAATAGCACTTTCAAAATAGCAGTATCTAGCTGGGCATGGTCATGCTTGCCTGTAATCCCAGAACTCTGGGAGGCTGAACCAAGCAGATTTCAAGTTTGAGCCTAGGTTGGACAACTTAGGAAAACCATGCCTCAAAATAAAAAATTTAAAAAGGGATGGGGATATATCACATGGAAAAACTCTGCAGTGAGAAATGGTTTCTTCTCCCCATGCCCCACCCCCACCTTTTTAGAAAACACTCCAAACAAGCAAACCCCCTCCAAAAGCAATGTCTACCATAATGAAATTAGCTAACAATATCTGCTGACTGTCAAAGTATTACAATATTAAGTATAACTTCATCGGTAGAGACTGATTCTCCAAAAAGCAGCAATGTGTGATTAAGTGGCCAGTTTTATTAAGTACCAACTTAAGGATATGTGAGAGAATTTCACATGCTCAGATGCTGACAAATTCCTGGGGCATACATCATGAATATTTGTTTTACTTAGTTTTTAACTCTGTAAATAGGGAGACTCAAAGCAAGCAAACCAAATATTAGGAATGGAATACAGACAATTAAAAGTACATTTACTGGGCATGGTGGCTCATGCCTGTAGATCTAGTACTCTGAGAGGCTGAGGCAGAAGGACTGCAAATTTAAGCACAGCCTGGGCAGCTTAGAAACTTAGTGAGACCCTGTCTCAAAACAAAAAAGGGCTGGAAATATATTTCAGCATGAAGGCCCTGAGTTCAATCTGCAGCACTGTAGGGAAAAATAAAAATATAGTGTTAGGTAACTGGAATGTGGAAAGAGCTCATGCTATAAATTACACTTTTATGTCACTATGCACATACATCCCTCAATTTGCAAACTCACTTCCTGTTTCATTTGACCAGTTTATACTCCAGTCACTGGCCTATCTGAACCAGGCTGGAACACTGGCGTCTGGCGTCTGTTAATGACTTATCATACTTAGGAGGGAGGTGTGAGCACTCCGATTACACTGTCATGCTGACTGTGCAATGGAACACAGGAAACACCGTAGTCTTTTAGTTGTTATTCTTTCTACTGTTTAATTATTAGCTTTTTTCTTTTTTTTGAAGACAAGGTCTCACTATATAGTTGAGGCTGTCTTTAAACTTGCTATGTAGCCCAGGCTGGCTACAAACTCGTGATCCTCCTGCCTCAGCCTCCCCAGTACTGGGATTTCAGGCATGTACCACCATGCTCAACTTAACTAATGACAATCCACTGTTTGAAGTGATTACAGTATTCTATTAACTATTAATGCACTATGACTAAGATGATGCACAGAGTCCTAATTCAACAGTTCTACATGCAGGAACACATCTTGAGGTATATTAAGTTATGCCTATAGGTCCAGAACAATGGTGGTGAACCTTTTGGAGACTGAATGCCCAAACTGCAACCCAAAACCCACTTATTTATCACAAAGTGCTAACACTGTAATTAAACATGAATAATGAGGTTTTACTTTAGAAAAAACTCGCACCCTTGGCTTGTGTACTGACAGAGGAGAGTCTGTGTGCCCACTGTGGCATAGGTTTGCCACCACTGGTCTACTACACCAAGAGCTGTTGAATGTTTATACCAACAACGAAAGAAAACTACCCAAAATGGCCTTTACTGTGAGAGGCTATTTAAGAAATCAAACCTGGGCTGGGCGTGGTGATGCATGCCTGTAATCTAGCACTCAGGAGGCTGAGGCAGGAGGATTGCTGTGAGTTCGAGACCAGCCTAGGCTACATAGTGAGTTCCAGGTCAGTCTCAACTACATCATAGTGGGACTCTGTCTCAACAAACCAAAAAAGAAAAAGAAATCAAACCTGTTCAATGGCATGTGCTACACATGCAGCATTGAAAGAGGAGGAAGATCCTCAGGTAAAGATATAGAAAGATCTTCAAGCTAATCACAGCATGAAGTAAAGCGCAACCAGAGCATGTGTGGTAGTAAGCGCTTGTCCATACAGGAAAAAAGAGACAGACACAATAACAAGCACCATCTAGGCCAGTGGCTCCCCTCAAGGAGAGGTTTTTGGTCAGAGACAGGAAGCTACTCATACCTAATAGGTAGAGGCCTTTGATGCCGCCAAACATTTTAGAATCCACACTAAAATAGAAGCAGTACGGAGGATGAGGACTCTCAGTCTAGCCACAGCACATGCACAGACTATCTCCAGAAGGACACTAGGAGGCTGCTTCTTGAAACAGAATTACATTGAGAAGCCTGCGACTGACAGTGACTTCTCTTTCACTCTATACCCAACTCTCTATTACTTGAATTCTAAAATCATGAGAAGGGCCATGGGTGTTATCGCAATGGTGTTTGCCTAGCTTTCCTACAGCCCTGATTTTGATCCCCAGCACTTCAAAGCCGAACAAACAAAATAAATCCCAAATTATTTAAAACATATTGTTTAACACAACAAACTTTTAATTTTCTAGTGAATATTTGAGAGGCTTTACTTACATGCTCAGGCTTATCTTTAAGAAGTTGTTTTATCTTGTTTACTGCAGAAGGTGTCTGAAAAAAAGAAAATGCCATTCAGCTTTTTCCAATAAGTTTGTACTGAGCCACAGATTTACTAGTCTTAAGAGTATTCGCTGTCTTTAGCAAATTCACATGACAAATTTATGTTCCATTCATACCGGGATACCTTGTGCATTTTGTTCACCAACACACAGGATAGTTCTGTGTCGTGTTCTTTTTGTATTACCTACTTACATCATGTGCAGGTTAACTGATTAATGGTCAGCTTGCGTGGGGACACCCAGCTGAACTGAGTCGGTATGGTTCAGGGCATGAAGACCTATTTAAGAAAGACTGTTGTTGGAATGGTATAAAGGAGAATGGGAGAGGGAAGGATTTCAGGTGATTTTCCTTGGGGAAGCTTCGGCAGTTCTCTTTGGAGTTCTGGTCCTTGCCTTTGCCTGGGACAACTGCTGTTCTCTTCTGAGGAGCTCAAGTCTTTGCCTCTGCCTTTGGTGTCATCTCCTGATGACTTCTGGTACATTCTTCAGCATCCAGCACCAGCCTTTCAGCCTGCTGGCACAAACCCTTTCCCTTCAACCTCCCAGAGCAGACCCCTCCGTCTTTTGTCAAGGATCCTTTGGCTTACTGATTCGGACTTGTAGGGAACATTGCTGTGGGCTCTGGGCCTTCAGCTGGATCTTTGGGCTCTCTAGCACACGAAGAGATCTTCTGCACTCTTCTGCATTTTACTCTCTGGGTGGCCAGGGTGGGCCAATCTTGTAAATTTCTGTCCTACGTTCATTCTGATTCTGAGCATGTGCAGTCTTTTGAGGAGCCTTACCCCAGCCCTGCAAGCTCTGGTAGGTACTAATACACATCACAAATACAACTTTTCAGGGCACTTTCCTATTTTGTGCACCTGTGATATGGCCAGCAACAAGCACATTCCCAGACAGCCAAAGCCCCTAAAATAGCTAAAGAAGGAAGCAATCATCTCAGCAAAAAAAGCCAATCTTCAGGTGTTTTTCCTACTGACATTAATCCCATTATTTTTCCCCCTTCTCACAATTTATCTCAAATCCACCAAAATGCAGTGAGAAGACAGTGTAACCAGCATGAACCAACCCCAGTATGCTTCTCACAGCAGGCTAAACACAGACTCACACTGATGCTCAATGTGGAATATACAGCTCAGACCTCGAAACAATTCAGGGATAGAAGGAGAACAGGAGCTGTGGTTTAACCTAGCCCAGCATGTCAGCAAGTCACATAACCAAGTGTGGCTTCTTCGGAAAGGGGCTACTGTGAACAGACTGTCCAGGTACATTCCTTGTCCACGTCCTAGGCACTCCACCAATCAAGTGAAGCAATTTCTCTGACTTCCAGTTCCTCGCTGTGAAATGAGGATAAAGCCCCTCTTCCTCAGGATTCTTGTGAAGATAAAATAATGAAATTCCTGAAAGGGGTCCTGGTCCTTTAGTTAGGCACAAGAAGCTCAAAACAGCAGTTACCATTGCTATGGTGAGTACATCATAATGAGGAGACTGCATCCTTCCTACTTCCTATTTTATCAGCTCCTTTAGCCAGCAATGGTGGGATGGTCCTACAGGTTTTGTGCTGACACTTCACTGGCTTGTGAAACCTCAAAGTCTGGGTATTCTGACCTGTGACTTTGTGATCTCTGGCCAGAACTCAAGCTTCTGCTGTGGGAGCATCCCTAGGGATGACCTCAGTGTATATTCATTTAGATGCTAATATTTAAACAATACTGGACTCAATTTAGAAGGGTTCACAAAAGGGAAACCAATTTATTTATTTATTTATTTATTTTTTTTTTTTTTATTGAGTTTATTGGTACATTTAGGGATACAGTACAGTTACATTCATTGTTGGGATCATGTACCTTTACATGGCAAGTCTTGATTCTCATTTTTTTCCCCTTACCTCTGCCCTCCCTTCACCCCCTCCTCCCCTCCCCATCTACAAACACTTTATTTTCATCTTTTCATTCTCTCACATTTTTTTCTTTTCCCTTTTTGTTCTTCCCCTACGTATCACACCTTCCCTACACCTTTAGCTCCTTTCCTCCCATTTCTAAATGTCAGTAATCTTATTAGAATCTTATGCATTGTTGCAGAATATTCACACCAGGGAAACTATTTGGTATTTACACATGTGGGACTTATTTATTTCACTTAGGAGTATATCTTCAATATGTATCCATTTTCCTATGAATGAATCTATTCTCTCGCTCTTTATGGCTGAGTAATATTCCATTTTATAGAAAAACCACAACTTCTTTATCCAGTTTAAGGGAAACCAATTTAAAAGGCTGAAATCAGTATTTTAAAACAATTTAAGAAATGGGTGGGCATATACGTGTAATCACAGCTACTCAGGAGATTAAAGTAGGAGGACTGCATGTTTGAGGCCAGCTGGGGTACTTTAGTAATACCCTGTCTCAAAATCATGCACAGGCAGGGAGTTCAATCCCACAGACTAGAAAGAAAAATAAAATAAAATAAATGGAAAGAAAAACGGAAAAAGCAATGCACTGCACTTAATAAAAATGGATAGGTTATGTATTTTTCTTGAGATCACAGAGTATCAACCTAAAATACTTACAGAAATATTTCTCAAAGTGCTTATTTACACTTATAAATGATTATACCACAGGCTAGCAGCTCTCTTCCATCTAGATTTTCATAGGCATGTTTCCTACATGGGCGTTGAATAAATTAATCTATTATCAAACCAAATATTTTGGGAAAAACAATTTTTTGGTAAGTTAAAAAGGTATAGCTTTGGAAAATACATGAAATTAAAATTCACTGCATAATTCCGGCTGAAGGTAACATGTCGGAGGTAGGAAAGGTTCACTTCTGCAAGAGCTAACAGCAACAAATGGGGGTCACACTACCCTGCCCAGTGTGCCAGGATGAAGGTGTGTTGTGGTGCTGGGACTGAACACAGGCTGCAATCACTGAACAGTGCACAGATTGCACTGAGCTGCAATCCTAGCCTTTTCTGTTTCACTTTGAGATACCATTTCACTAAACTGCCCAGGACTGGCTCTAACTAGCAATCCTATCAGCCTCCTGGAGTGCTTCGGTTACAGGTGTGCACCACCATACCTAGCCGGCTCCAAGTGGCTTTCAAGTCACTTAATTTGGTTTTATAAAATAATAGATGAGTGGTGATCTGGTGAATGTTAATTAAAAAGTTATTACAGTTCAACACTTGCTGTTAATCCCCCTCAAAATACTCTCCCTTGTTTCTTTCACACATATATTACTGCTCTTGCATCTCTGCAGCAGTTCTGGAAGTCAGTCCTCTCTTGGGTATTCCATTATTCTCTCACTCTTGCCCCAAAGTCCTGACTTGATTTAACATGTCCACCTTTCATGGCGCTGTGATTTGGAAAGAGCCAGAAGTCTCCTGGTGCCAGATCTGGTGTTTCTAGAAGTCTGTCTTTCTGTTGAATGGCGCTGAATGGCAGCTTTACTCACACTTTGAAAAGACACGAATGAGGACTTCTAGAACTACTCCAGTGTTCAAAAACAAGGTGGAGTATTTTGAGAAGGGTTAGTGGCAATGTGTCTTTCACTGTAATAAGTTTTTAAAAAAATTATATATACACCATATATAGTACTTCGATCATACTTCATATTTTATTCTTTTCTCAGCTCCTAATAGAGAACATTTAAACACCATAAATAAAAGCTAGTCGTGGAAAATGGTCCACTAATTACAAAGTTGCCAATATTCACATCTTACACTGAACAGCACTGGAGGGAAAAGTAACATTATATAAGAATTGTTGCTGGAAAGTATTGTTATAGGAACATAAATTGCATCTTAATTTTCCTGTGGCACATACAAACCAAACATATTACAGTTTGGAGACAACAATTCCTAAGGATGGATAACCCAGCTAAATTCTCAACCAAGGGGAAATGACAGTTCGGATAATTTCTGAAGTGACTGATACGATTTTCAAGACAAGTCAAAATGGCTGAAAAAGGGACATGTGAGATAAAAAAACAAAAAACAAACAAACAAAACAACTCCAGATTAAAAAGAGCTTTTTTTGTATCTCAGTACCAGACAGAAACTAAAGATCCTATTTAGCTCTACTTCGTTCTCTCTGCGTAATCTGGCAATGAATCTGGAAACAGCATAAAATATTTCACTGGACATGCTGGGCCCAGCAGCCTTCCAACACCAATGCTCTCTCTAGACAACCAGGAAACCCAAACTTTTCCAAGAAACTGATGTAAAGCTAATGACTCTTTTGTTTTTGTTTTTTTGATATAGAGTCTTGCTCTGCAGTCTAGGCTAGCCTTGAACTCACTATGTAGCCTAGGCTGGCCTCAAATGCCGGGCCTATGACTCTATAATTCATCTGTGATTTGGTCTGTGAATTAAAATTTTAAAAATTATTGAAATCCACTGAGATTTAATGATGGCTTTTGACCTACTCCTATCAAAACCACAAGAACATGACTATTTAAAATGAGAAAATATCTTTAAGGTGTTTTGATCCACTTAAAAATATTATCTTCAGGGTTTCATTGTCAAAATTGTAGGAAAATGCACTCTAGATAAATGTAATTATTTCACAGCAACACAATTTTGCTTTTCCCAAAGCTACAGGGTTTCTATTTTTTATAGGAGAAACTTTTTATTCTCAATACTGTATTTCCTTAAGTTATCCCCTAGGCACTTTTCATTTTAAAATAAAACTTGAAGTTGATTTTATGATTATATATATACTAAATATGTGCCAACAACTACAAGCTACTTTAATCTGATCACAAATCTGGTGTTTCAATGATTAAGATGGAAGGAAAGGTTAGCCAACACACAAGCTATACATAGTAACTGCACTGTTTAACAGCAATGGCTACCACTATGGTGTTTTCCTTTGGTCTCTTCCTGTGCATGCATAGATACACATATATAATGTTCAGAACCTAGTAAACAGAATTCTGTAGTCTATGAAAAAAATTAACATTATTTTCCCATTTGATACATGGTAGTAAACCTACATTCACTGTTCACTGAGTAACTTCCAGGAGTCTGTTTTTGTATGTTTCATCTTTTTATTCTTATACAACTATAATTTAGATAGTAAAGATTATATAATCTGTGTAACTATAAAATTTTAAAAATTTACAATGAGTATTAATATTTTACCCAGATCTACTCTAGTATGTCATACAGACCACATCATGTTTTCCTTTTGCTTTTGGCACCGACATAGAAACTGGGACTTTGAGCATACTAAGCACTTGCCCTACACCCGAACTTCACTCCTGGTCCTACACACGTTTCTCATAATGGAGAAAAATATCTCCTAAGTTGCCCTCAGACACATTTTAGTTTTTGGTCACTGTTCCACGGACATCTGGACCTAGCCCAACGAATTGACAGCTTTTATATTCAAAGCATTTCTTAGTCTTTCTCACCAGGTTCCACTAGAAAGTTAAGTCCTAAGGCACCATCTGTCCACATGAAATTAACTTCTCTTCGTATGTCAAAAATATACCGACTATGCACATCATTCTCATAGAACTCTGAGTGCACTTTGGGCACAGTGTGAGACATCTTTAATCCTAAATTAGGGTTGAACTAATTCTGTTTTCTGCAATGATAACAATAAAGGTATCTGCCACCTGGGTAGTGTTCGAGCTTTTCTTTAATCATACCTTACTCTTGCTCCTCTAAATTGGATTCCACCAGTCAGTTCCTGGGTATGCGGAATATGGAGTATGTCAATTCCTAGGTGGTAGCCAGGGGGATCCATCCTCCAGGGATGTTTTCTTCAGGTGCCCATGGTAACTCATGTTGATGTGGGTTGTCAAAGAGCCAGCCTTGTTCACAGAAAGCTTTCTTCAGCATAAACCCCTCCCTCCACCAATCCCTCCCAGGACTAACACTGGCTAATGCAGATAATTTGGTGCTGACATCTTGTCGTGGTTTCATGTCCTTAATCACTTTTCCTGGCCTCCCACTGACTTCTAGCAGACTCCACCAGCACAATTTTCAAATAATGCAACATGGAAAATTCCTGATGTCAAAAATTTATATATCCAAGTAACATCCCTTCTTTCCAGTTTTACTGAACTATCTTTACTTTTGTTTGCTGTTCTCTTTCTCCATTCATTATGCATATGATCACATCACTACTTTTGCACTCAACACAACATGTGGGGATTAAAACTGTTTTCGAAACAATTGAAAACTAAGCACAACAGCAATACATGCCATACAGGTGCCTTGATATATGCTAGGATAAAATGACTACTAGCCCACTAACACAAGCCATGTGGGATAGTAGCATTAATTTTTTTTTTTCTCCTACACTCACCTAAGAAACTCCCAGAGCTTATAAAGTCACCCTTAAGACTAAGCAGAATAATTTAATTTTATGACACAGCCAGGCAACAGGAGCCCTTGTGACTGACAATTACTAGAGAACATGCAAGCAAGCAAACTGAGGTAAGTATAGGAGACCAGGCCTCAGAATGTGAGATATGCTAATAAATATTCCTCATAAGAATAATAGCTTTGTCTACAGCTGTGTCCATAAAGGGTGAGCACTGGATAACTCACTTATTTCTTGTCCTTAAATACAGGAAGTCTGGGTAAGTACCTGCTGAACTAGCAGGAATGGAGAGGTGCGGGGGGGGGGGGGACTCAGGAACTCTGAAGGAACAGCTAACACGAAAATGGTGAAGGAAAAACAAAAGGCAAAAAAACTGTATCCTCCGACTTTTCCTGGCTCTACCATTACTAACAGAATTCTTCTGAATTTTGAATAATTTTTCTGAGACTGAATTTTTCCATGGAGTATTTACCGGAGATGAAAACAGGCATGCCACTACGGGAAAAATACAAAAAAGTGGGATGTATTATTAGGATAACCTCAAAGGCCTAAAAACATTCATCTTTCCATTTTGTTTTAAGTAATTTCCTGGAGGTAGCACTTATTACGGCATTAGATGAAACGGACTCCATGATTCAACTTAAATCATCTGATTTCCCAATATCTACGTGAAAGCCTGCACCAAGACCGGGTGTGTGAGAATACTGAACAGATCCTAACGTTGCCTATCTGGATAAATGTGCGTTGGAACTGCAGGGAAGTAACAGCTGCAAAACATTATGAATATTCTAAATGCCACTGAATTATACCCTTAAGTGGTTAATTTTATGTGGATTTTCTCTCGTCTAAAAAAAACCTGCACAAGCTGAGGCAAGACCCCAAGTTCGAGCTCAGTCTGGACCAACTTAGTAATTTAGAGAATGCGTTTAAAAAACAGAGAAAGGAGCCGAGGATTTAGCTCAGCGGTTCGGTGGCCTGCCTTGCAAGCTCAAGGATCCGAGTTCAATCCCCGGTATCAAAAAAAGAGAGAGAAAAGAGAAAGGGGGTTCAGGATGTAACTCAGTGCGAGAGTTAAATACCCGGTAGTACAGCCCCGCAACATAACGAATCCTCACCCGGCACGGAGGGCCCCAGGCCCAGCAGAGCTCCCCGCAGCCCTGAGGCCGGTTAGGTGTCCTCCGCTTCCGACCTTTGACCCGGAAAATGCCGAAAGCGCGGCGGCACACCGCATCCTTTGTTTGGCGACCATGTGAGACGGGAAACTAAGGGGTGCAGAGACCGGCCGCGGGGACCCTAATAACGCCCAGCGCGCAGCGGCCCGGCCCCTGCTGCCCTCCTAGGTCCCCCAGCTCGCACAATCGCGCAC